AGTATTTGTTTCTGTATGATATGGGAGATTTCTGTAATTTATTAAGAGGGTGTTTGATATCTATTTTTAAGAAAAAATGAATTTTAGAATAATAAATTGATGGAGAATGTATGGTTGAAAAGTTTTTTATTTACGTGTAATATTATTTTAATGAAGAATATGTTGTTGAAAAAAAGAAAGAGAAAAATATATTTTGAAAAAAATGAAAATCAAACGGAGCCTAAAAGGAAATGAGTGTTTTGTGCTATTAAATTGTGCAGTATATTGGCATTATAATTTTATTTGTTTCATTACATTTTAATTGCATCAAGGTCCTCAATATATTCTCATTGTATACTTATTTTCATAACTTCTTTCACCGCATTTTAATATATTCTCATTGTATATTTATTTTCATAACTTCTTTTTCTTTTAATTCTTCGTCTTTAATATCCACTAATTTACATATATTGTCCTTGATGATATCGTTGTCTTTGACATGTATTTTGTTACACTTTTGTATTTATTTTTGAAAAAAAAAAATAGGATGGACATTTTGGACGAAAACATAATCAAATAAAGATGTGCTAATTTATAAACAATTGAAGATAAGAAGACGATGAAAAATGTTGGAGATATACATTCTACAATAAGTAAAGATTGACGATGTTAATTATAATTAAATTACAATACTCAATTACCTCAAGAGCATGTTTATGATTTACACTATAAGTTCCATAGTTTTACCTTTCTAACAATAATTGATATATAAGATGAAGGGTACCAAATAATGTTGCAATAGGTGTCGTCGAGCCTTGGGTAGATTTCTTCGTTATTTTTTAGTACTTGGTGGGTTAATATTTTATTAATTTGAGAAAAATAATTGGACCAGTTTCTTGCCATATAAGACTCGACCGACAGAGTTTAATTCCTAGAATATCCCAAACTTTCGTCATAAACAACGACGTATGACTTATCCCTAGGCAAATAATACAATATTTTAGACATTTGCAACAAGGATTCGGGGAAAACAAGCGCTGCATCAAATTTTGCACTATTTTGTACCAAATTTTACACCAAACTAAAATTCATCTTTAACCATTACACCAAAAATTACACCAAATGAACAGTATTTAACAATTTTCTTCCTTTTTTTATTCTTTATAATATATTTATTTGAAATATTATTTATTTAATTATTTTATAAATAAATAAATTACTAAATAAATAATTATGTTAAATTACGGAAAAGATTAAATTCATTAATAAATCGTGTTTGTTATATTTTAAGTTTTTTTCTTCTTTTAATTAATTTATTAATTATTATTTTTTACATTTAAAATAAATTTTAAATGCAAATAATAATAATGATGATAATAATTTATTGTATTAAAAAAAATATAGCATAAATGACACAAATACCCTTAATCAATTTATTTGGAAAGGAAAATGAAGGGTAAAAATGACTTTGACACTTTCAAAATGGTACAAAATTTAGTGTTGCATTGAAGCAACTTTGCAACAAAAAATGGTGTAAAATGATGCAATGGTGCAACCATTGGAGAGCCTAAGTGAGGATGAGTTTTTCGAGTGATTCACATGAGTTGGCTTGCAAGCTCGTTATGTTCAGTCCAACTCGGCTAACCCATCAAGGGACAAGCTTGTGAGGCTAGTCAAGCCATCTTGTTTGCCCTTATTTAACATTCCTACGTGACTCATTTTCAAATGTTTTTGGGTGATATAAATCATGGTAATCTATTATAGCTCCAGTGAATGATTTTAGAATAAATAAATAAAAAAAGCTGCCCCTATGAACAATTCTTTGTTCAAAATTTCCAATATACGCTCGCGCGCGCACACACATATATATATATATCGAATTAAATAGCAAAAAGTCCTTCCCTTCCCACATGATAATACAATTACAAAAGTTAACGCGGCATACACTCATTGACGGGCCCACAGTGGATCCTGGTGGGTCAAGTGACCCACCAAAATAAATACATTTTTTTTAATTAGAAATCAGATTTGAAACCTCATTCTGGATAATTATTTCTTCTTGATAATTTTTTTTTTTTTTTTTTTTGTGATATCCTACAAAATGGAATTGGGGATACAAAATGGAATTGGGGATCCCCTCAAGTGCTCCAATTTTTATCTTATTTTGACGATTTTATGGTAATGAATTCTTGCTGTGATTTTTTTCTTTATTTGAACTAGAATGTAATTGATAATGTAAAATTTAGAATTTGCTGTAAGTTTCATATTTTTTTTTACTTGAATTGATTGTGATGGAAAAATGATTTAAATGTAAATATGTTTTTTTTTTTTAATGATCACAATGTTAATGAAAGGATTATACGAAATAAAAGCGATGAAAGTGATGTTGAAAATAAAAAGAATGATAAACTTGGTGATGTTTGAATAAACGTAAATCCGTATTCTTTGCAATTTTGATTGAACCTCACTAACTCAAAAATTTGTGTCCACCACCGCATACACTTGAGAATTAAGTAACATCAATGCATTTGACTAAACATGTGGGATGATGTTGATCATCAATGGCGTACACTCCAACTTCCACATGATGAAGACGTTTACCGATAATGAACAGCACATCAACGAGGTAAAGTTTGGGCTTTTGGAAACATCCTAACGAGGAAAACATACAACCAGAAAGCACAATCTCATTTTCAAATTATTGGAAGGGGTGTTTTTTCAATTAAAATTTGTGGTCTGCTCTAATACCATATTTAAAGGGTTGTTTGAACATATCAATCTTGAAAGTTATGTGCTCGTTTTTCAATCTTAATTAAATCAAGTATTCTCGTCTAAGCTTAAAACAGCACATCAACGAGGTAAAGTTTGGGCTTTTGGAAACATCCTAACGAGGAAAACATACAACCAGAAAGCACAATCTCATTTTCAAATTATTGGAAGGGGTGTTTTTTCAATTAAAATTTGTGGTCTGCTCTAATACCATATTTAAAGGGTTGTTTGAACATATCAATCTTGAAAGTTATGTGCTCGTTTTTCAATCTTAATTAAATCAAGTATTCTCGTCTAAGCTTAATGAGCTCTAATATCATGTAAAGAAAATTATAAATAGATTGAAAGTGTTCGGCTTGGATATGGAACAACGTTACATTCATATTGTTTTTATATTAAAATATTACAACCAATTAGAATTTCCTGAGTACAATAAGCATGTCTACTAAGAGAAATAAGGAGAGTTACAAGTAAACGTGCTTTACAAAAGTTTGAGAGCCTAAAGATTCGGAAAAGTATCAGATAGTCTAACATTGTAAAAACCACTGCTACCACAGAATTTCAATCTAGCCCAATTAATTTTGGGTAAGGTGATGCTACTTCTAAGACCTCACGACGATCCTTTTTGAATTCCAAATTAACCCTAAAGCTGTACGGGGACCATTTGCATTTACCATTTAGAAAACCAATTTCCTATATTACAATGCCAATCAATGTTGTACTTTAGCCAATAGAATCAGAAATTGCAGTTTACGCCCCCCGGGGCATAGCCTAGTGGTGCAAAGGACAAGAGTGAGGTTATCTCACGCCTTGCTGGCAGCCGTAATGTGGGGGTTCAATTCTTGAGATATGGAATTGAACTCCTTGTAGACGCAGTGTACAGGCAGCTCCTATTCCCTGGCCTGTTGGGGCACATCCCGCAATTTACCTCCCTCACAAAACTTTAGGGGCGGGTCGGTGGGAGCCCTCAAGGTTGGGGTTCAACCCTTTTTTTTTTTTTTAAGAAATTGCAGTGTACAGGCAACTCTTATTTCCTGGCCTGTTGGGGCACATCCTGCAATTTACCTCACTCACAAAGCTCTAGGGGCGGGCCGGTGAGAGCCCTCAAGGTTGGGGTTCAATCCTTTTTTTTTTTTTTTTTAAGAAATTTCAGTTTACATTTTAGCCCTACTGACCAAGTAAGAGCACTAAATGTCAGAAATATCTCTATCTTTCCAATCTGTACTCACTGCAGTCCCCCAATAAATTGCACCATTTTAAGCTTATTTGATTGTTTTCCAACTCAGTCTTGTCTGTTTTACATGTACACGGAATTAAGATATTTTTAGCCGTACAAAATCATATGATAGCAACTCATTTTATGAGGGATCTCTTATATTCTTTGTCAATAGTCAATATTGTTAAACAATTTCTTGTCATTGTGGGTGAAATTCTTTGTCGATAATCAGTATTGTCAAACAATTTCTTGTCATTGTGGGTTGAAACTAAACTACTTTCACCCAATAGACAAGGAGTTTCTCCTCCTTTTCTCTTACTCATCATGATATTCATTGGAAAATAACAAGATTTCGATTACCACAAGGTAGTGAAACAGCCAATATAACTCTTTAACACTCTTAAATAAAAATGTAATATGTTATTTTAGCAAAACAATTGAAATGAATCAAAAAGCGTAGGAATAAGTTCGATTAATATTCCTTTTATGTGGAGAGAGTGAAGATGCAATCGTGTTCTTCTTCGAGTAACTAACTTTCTCATATAAATTGTGCTTGTGATATGAAGTCTTCACGTTTCTTTTGTAATTGATTTGTGGTACAAGGTCCACTCTGTGTTGCCTTAATGAAGGGACAAATATCCTCAAATCGTTACCAGGATGGTCACGTTCCCTTGGATTTGCGCATAACATCACCATTGAAACTTGTGGGATTGAACATACAAGAACATATGTCAATTGAACAATCGATTTTTTGTAGTGAGTTAAATCATATATACTTGATAAAACTTATCTTAGTACTTATAAATCGATAATCAATATTCATCGCATTCAAAAAACGATTATTAAAAGCCAAATCCCATTTCGTGGATGTTGCATTCACAGAAGCAGACAAAGAGAGGGACGGATTTTAGACGAAGGATGAATCACATAATATGTGAATGGTTGCTCCGCCACGTTATTTTAATGTACTAAAAAATTACCTAATAATAAATAAATACAAACTATATTAATCATTCAGCGTGTTAGTTAAAACATTGCCTATCAAAATTTTAAAATAATAATAATTATTTTAATTTAATATTCTCCCCTTCAGAGTCAAACTGATAATCAAACACAGTTTCATCAAGGTTTTTGATGCCATTTTGTCGCCTGGCAATTCATCCTCTTCATACAAATCATAGATGGAACTTATGAGCTGATTTTTCTGAATATTAAGCTTTTCTTTCTATATTCCCTAAACAGAAACAAATAAAAATCCCGGTTATGATCCAACAACCTCGATGGGGAAACTTTCCAGCATGATAACAGGAAGATGAAAGGGTTGGATAATGTAATTGTAAGACTGATAACCTGTTGTATAATTTGCCTATTCCTGTCAACTCAATCTACTTGTACAGAAGAAGGTATGATCTTGTTCCATTGATTTACTGAATGAAATTATTGCCTCTAAAGCAGAGTAATAAAAACTTCAATACAAGATATCATTTTCCCCAAGTTACATGTTTTTGTCCTAATTATTAAGATGAAATAACACAATCCAATATCTTGCACTAGTTTTCTAGTTTATGGATCATAGATCAGTACAATTGTGTTGGGTAAAATTGCTTCTATGATCTGATCTCCAATTGTAATGTGCAGCCAAATCAACAGAGTAGAAATTACAAGCCATACAAAGTGGGTTTAGTGATAGTGATAAGCTCGAAATTTTGCGGTTTTGGGGGATGGGATGGGGGGATTGTGGAGACGGAGGAAGCCTTTCAAAGTGTAGATCTTGAAAACAAACGTAACATGCACCAGACAGTGACAAGATCAAGATATTGGGCAGTATTCTACATGACTACATGTGAAGAAATTAACTGATTTCAAGAGTAAAATAGCATTCACTTTCTTTTGTAGAAAGAGATAACATTGAAGAATATAAATCAGGCAAAAGCAGGCACTTCAAATTCATATATAGTCATTAAAAAACAGTAGTAGTCAATTTGAAACATGAATAGCTTATAAATGACTTAAATCTCACCCATAGTAGTCAATTTGAATGCTTATAACTAACTTATATCTCACCCTTATATGTTCAGTTAATGTAATTACCAATGTGAAGCATGAGCTACGGGAGCTCAATCAAGATAGTGAAGTGTTGAAAACTTGGTCAGGAGATCCGTGTCTCCCTCGTCCATGGCATGGTTTGTCTTGTGAGCTTCTTAACAGTACCTCAGTCATAACTAAACTGTGAGTCACTCATTATCATTTCGTCGATTATCTCTGAAGCATTATATTTGTTAACACCTTGTTGATAACATGATTTGTTCATTAACTTTCTGTTCCAGAGATCTATCCTTCAAAAGCCTTACAGGACCGCTCCCTCCCAGTATCACTGAACTGATTCACTTGAAGGAATTGTATGACTAAGTTCTATTAAGTGGATTATTCTTTTATTCAGTGATTGTGTTTGTTTCTCACAGACCATATGGTCAAATGCAGGAACTTGAGCAACAATAGGTTCACTGGGACCATTCCCGAGTTTCCAGCTTCCTCAGTGTTGACATCAGTGTACTAAACTTTCACTCAGTTTTAGCACAATAACTTTAATTCCCTTTCATAGTTTTAATTCCCTTTCACAGTGATAGGAATTTTTAAGAACTTAAGGTGAAGAGCATAAAATCTCTCCATTTTTACCAGAAACATGAACCTTTTGTTCTGTCACTCAATTTAGAATTCTACATGAATCAACCTCCATAAATCACAGAAGTATCAGTGTACACAATCACTACAATTTCCTATTCAAAAATTTCGCCTGAGGAGTGATCCAGTAAACACACACCCTTCACATATGTAATGATAAATTACATGTGGGGATGTGTGCACCGAACTGTATCATGAAATCCTGGAAAAAGAAATCTTAAATATACAAACTTGCTTCCTATATGATCTTTTTTTATCTCTATGCAAGCTCAAACAAAAACTATTGAATTTCAAGTACTTGCATTGAACATTTTGTTTTATATCAGATATTACGCAAATACAATCAACCTTCTCATGTAACTGTCTTAAACCATTAACCATATGGAATCAGTGGTTGATCATAAGAACACTCATGTCTTCCAATTCCATATGGCGTTAAACTGCTGACATGAACATTATGAGATAAAAGGCAATAAAACATAGTCAAAATACAATTGTTCACATGATACTTGGAAATATGATTCTCACACATTAGAGACACATGCAAAATCCAAGAATACTCGAGCATTTGGCCACTCTCGTACCGACAATGATCATATACTGGGGAACATATCGACCTAATAGCAAATGGAATGAGGTAGTTAGGAAACAAATGAACATTGTGATTTAACTTCGGAGATGGGCCTTGCTAGAGCGTAGGGAAAAAGGAGGATTCAAGCAGCCAACCCCACACAAGTCTGGGATAAGGATTAGTTGAGCTGAATTGAGTTGTATGTTAAGACAACAGGCCAATAAACGTTGGTATCATAAAAAATTCTTTCCAGGAACATCAGCTAACATCTCATGAACCCAATAACAAATTTGCCAAGTATCGTTCTCCAGATAACCATTTGATTTGTTGGTAAAAATTTTACAGGGATCTGAGCCACAATGATCTCACGGGAAACATCACAGGATATCTAACCTCTCTGCCTTATCTGACAACGTTGTAAGTTTATGAACAAATTCATTTTGACATGTTTAGACAACAATTTCAATATGAATTGGTTTCTGTTTAGGCTAATTATTATGTGGACATGTACCTTAGTATATGTTTTCCTCTTCATCCAGATGTTTCGGAAGCAATCCTCTTTCCAGCCAAAATCTTCCTTACAGCCTAAGCAGATCGAATCTTACTACAGGGTATGAAGCATTAGCTTTAAGAATGCCAGGATAAATTTTTATTGAGAGAGAACGTTTTCTTGCCTCTGTGTGCATGTGTGTTTGTGACTGAGAGATAGAGAGAGAAAGAGTCTTTAACTCCTTTTCCTTTGATTATCTACTTTTATATTTTAGCAACGGGAAATGCTCAGCTCAAGGATCTTCCCATTCAAGTCAACGAATTTGGATAGGCATAGCTGCGGGTGGATCCCTCTTCATTATGATAGTATTTGGAATCTCTTTGGCTTGCCTATACAAACACAAAAGGATGGCTCTGCAAAAATTTGATGTAAAACGTCACCCAATGTCAAAGAGTAAGTACATTAAACTCTTTTGATATACTACAAATAGATCAAGATTGAAAAAGAAGCTACTCAAAGATATTAATGAATTTTCTTCTGTTAGTTGTCGACACAATAGAGAGATATATTTCACAACATATATTTTATCATGTATGAAAGCTTCATATGCTACGAATAGACCAAGATTGATAAAGAAGCCTATTATTAAACCTTTTTCTGTTAATTGTCGACACAATACAGAAACTTATATTTCACAACATATTATGTTTCTAGAGTCACTAGGCTTGCTTACTATATCCTCGGCTATTTTTTGACAAATTAGCAGGTTGAATGCTATACTGTCTTACTCATGATCAAGCACCTGTTTCTCATTGCTACATCAGTGTTAAAAAAACAGTGATAAGCATATTCTTAACAGGAATAAACAAAACCCAACTTGTAAAACATGCAAAAATATTGATTTCGGAGTTGCAGTAATATACACAGGAAAGAATAAGATCATAATTTGAAACAATTCTTTGGTTATTCCTACACGCTCTCTCTCTCTCTCTCTCTCTCTATTTTTTTTCTTTTTATTTTTTTTTTTTCCGGGTTAACCGTTCAATTTTAGTAATTAAATTAATTTGAATCTTCGAACAACAGAGCCAGTGACATCAAATTTTCAAATGCAGATGCAGTTTATGCAGTTCCAAGCATGGATGATATTGTAACGAAGTCCATATCTATCCAGAGCTTCACATTGGAGTACATAGAAATTGCTACAGAAAAGTACAAGACATTGATAGGTGAAGGTGGGTTTGGATCAGTTTACCGTGGTACTCTACCTGACGGTCAAGAGGTGGCTGTGAAGGTCCGATCAGCGACATCAACCCAGGGAACTCGTGAATTTGACAATGAGGTGACTCCAGCATAATTTAAACCACTTTCCCTGAAAGGATTATTATTTAAACAACCAACTACAGTGTGCATGCATTTTTCTGGATTTGTGTGTGTATTTTTTTCTCCCAGCTGTATCTAATTACAATTGCGATTTGATCCTTGGTGCCTTGGAAAGCAAATATTTTAATTTTGAAACTTCTACCATTTATTAAAGTGATTTTATAACATTTTGACTACCTCTAAACGTCCACGACGGGATTTTCAATTTTCCTTTTTCCTATAACCAACAATTACTAAATCTATTGTGCATCCGGACTTGGCTCCTTCGTAAGAGGCTAACTGAATTGATATCAATCAACTCTGTAGTTGAATTTGCTCTCAGCAATTCGGCATGAAAACTTGGTCCCACTACTTGGCTTCTGCTGCGAGAATGACCAACAAATTCTTGTCTATCCTTTTATGTCTAATGGCTCCCTACAGGATCGCCTTTATGGTACTTATTTATTTAGAACTCTTTCAAACAAAGCCCTGTTAAATATTAGCATTCATTTATTGACTCTTCATTAATTTACAGGAGCAGCATCAAAGCGAAAGATTTTAGATTGGCCAACCAGACTTTCAATAGCTTTAGGTGCTGCAAGAGGCAAGTAAAATAGGGTCCAGTATTATGTATATTTTCAAGCAAATAATTAATAATCCGTGCATGACAGTGTAACAGCTTAGGTACTCAACATTTCTGAACGAATCTGGCAACATTGCAGAAAGAAACCTAGTCCTTCCCTCCCCTATGACTAAACGAAAAGCACAATAAAGTTTGGTTATACTGCTTTCATAAAATGATAAAATGACAGAAGTAACTTTAGGAAATCAATGACTTCTCTTAAAGATTTAAAACGTTTGAACACCAAATATTACTCTAGGGAAACTATAGCTCTTCCAGAGCAAAGAAACATGATTATTATCAAAATAAGATTTAACTATATCCAATGTTGTCCGAGAGACTAAAACCATCCTTGGCTTGTAAAAGGTAATAGATTAATGAAACATCTCAGTAGTATAAAAGGAAGCATAAAATTCAGTCCAAACTTCATGTAAATTCTCCAAATCGTGCCATATTTTTTCACTCATGCTCAGCACCACTTTTATCTCGTGCTAGTATTTTTTCACCTTGATAATTTCCAATTGCTCAATTTCCTTTTTCTATGTTTTTCTCCTTTCTTGACATTGAATATGTACCAAAGTGTCTAAAGTGAATTCTATCAATCAGGTTTGACATATCTTCACACCTTCTCTGAGCGCTGTGTCATTCATAGGGATGTGAAATCGAGTAACATACTCTTGGATCATAGCATGTCCGCAAAGGTTGCAGACTTTGGATTTTCAAAATATGCACCTCAAGAAGGGGACAGTGGCACTTCTTTAGAAGTAAGAGGCACTGCTGGATACTTGGATCCAGAGTAAGTATACGACTCCTTGCATTAAATCTTGATCCTTCATAGGGCTGGCAATCGATCGGATTTGCTCAAATCCGATCCGATAATCCGACGGATATTTGAATGCTAAATCCAAATTCGATTAGCTATGTTATTGGATATCGGATGCGATAATCCGATCCGAAATTGAAAAAATTAGAAAAATAAAAATTTTATTTATCTTTTTCATTAAAAATCATAGCCTTAACAAGCTTTTAATTATTTATTTATTTTAAAAAATATTTGAACTATCTTGATGGGCTCACTTATTATATTAGAAGGCCCAAATAAATTTTTTATCCAAGTAATGCTCTTTTTTAAAAGAAACTCATCTTGGAATGTTTTAGTAATATTCCAACGTGGAATACTAGCTTTTTAAAGGATTATCATCTTCCAATGATTTAGTGATCTTTTAATGTGGGTTACTAATCATAATCATTAATCAATTCTAAATGTTTACTAATTTACTTTATTATTTTCATTAAAAATCATAGCATCAATAAGATTTTAATTACAAACAATATCAATTTGAACAATTTAAATTATTTTGGACATATTAATTGTTAGTTCTTTATGTTATAAGAGAAATGACTATGGTAAATCTAATTTGTAAATTAATTATTATTTTTATCTTATTTTAATTAATAAAAAAATTAAATCTCTTCAAAATTTTCAATTAAAAACATTATCCTATTATATAATATTATTTATTATTTAAAAATTACGTGTAAACTATAATACAATTTTCAAAATAAAAAAGTTGTGTCATAAATTATGCTATAATATAAAAAATATAATATATTATTATAATAAATCGGATCAAGTTGTTATCAGATCGGATTGACCTATATTTGTATTTGATTTATTTAGTTAACGGATTATTAGATTCGGATCTCAATCGAATTATCGAATTGAGACCCTAAATTCATCTCTCATGAATTTTATCGGATTCGGATCAAAATCCAATCCATTGCCAACCCTAATCCCTCATCAGAACAAGAAAAGGAAGGCTGGATTTGATTTTAAGTAGAACTTGGAAGAGATGGAACTTCTATTTGTAATTGAAATCTGAAATGATACCACTGAAATTTGAATTCATGCTTCATGAATTTCATTTCCACACACAGTTATATGTCGCCAAACATAACTTTTTAAGGTCTAATTACTCAATGACATGGATCTTGCTGTAAACATGTTATATGAGGACTTTACTCCTTTATTCTACATATATATCTCAATGAGGATACAGAGTATGTGCTTTCATATTATGTGGATTTTGCATTGCATAGAATGGTTTCAAGAATTATGCATGCACCACAACCTCTGATTTTTTGAATTTTTTTTCTTTCAGGTACTACTCCACACAACATTTATCCACAAAAAGTGATGTCTTTAGCTTTGGGGTTGTTTTACTGGAAATCATAAGTGGCCGAGAACCTCTCAACATAAAAAGACCACGAAATGAGTGGAGCTTAGTTGAATGGGTAAGATCCAATCTCTGATCATTCTTCCTTCCTCAATCACTCACTCAACTAAGTCATTGTACATTTCTTAAAACTATTCATGTTTGACCACATACAATCAACTTTCCTTTAATACAGGCCAAACCCCATATAAGGAATTCAAGGATCGAAGAAATTGTGGACCTTAACATAAAGGGAGGATACCATGCTGAAGCAATGTGGAGAGTGGTGGAGGTAGCTCTGGCATGTATTGAGCCTTACTCAGCTTATCGCCCATGCATGGCTGACATTGTTCGTGAACTTGAGGACGCTTTTATCATAGAAAACAATGCATCAGAATACATGAAATCCATAGAGAGTTTCGGGGGATCCCGTCGCTACTCTATAGAGAGGCCCATTGTCATACCACAAACTCCAATTCCAACTGAACCATCAACTGTTCTTATGCAACCACCTCCTCCTCAACCAAGATAGTTAATTCGGTGGACAATCTCAGAAATTGTGAGAGATAGACAGCCTAAGAGATTATGCACCCATAAAATTTTTGTTAGCCAAAATTGATCTAACACTTGTGATCAATACTCTCTTTCTCTATTTTGCTATTATTAATACCATGTAAAGACTTGGACATGTTGGTTACAGTCAGTTCAGCTACTATCTTTGCACTCAATCACTGGTCTTTTAGATCCACGAGTGAACGTATGAGCAGCAGTCTAAACATCGAATCAATCATGAAATTCTTGTGAGAGACACTAGGAATGGCATTGGATTGGTACCCTTATATGGGCGAACATTCAACTTGATTCTCACTTAATCCCATAGAGAACGTAAGATCACCTTCTAATGTAAGAATCAATTCCATAAATTGTTTACTTCACTCAAGTTGTTTCCCTATGTAATTTTGAAGTGACTGTACGAATTTCTCGTGCATATTCATTAAGTTCTTTAATGAAAAGTTGATGCTACTGTTACCATTATAAGGATATCTTATAAAACGTTTGCCACAATAACCATTAACATGAAAACAGATGTTAGTTGCATGCTTAATTTCCCAAGAAAGAATACAAATGATGCCAACAAAAAACTTCAAGTCTTTTCTTCCCCAAAATAGGCAATTATAATAGTGTACCATCTTGATCTAATTGACAAATTGTAACGACCAGGTGAGCATGTCACTTTCTCTACGCACACCTTACAGTATTGCGTGACCAAAGGCAGACCTAGGACTTGAATCCCATAGCACTTACGAAAATACTTTCAAACAATAAAATAATGTATTAACATTAAAAGTGTTACAATGGCTCAAAATAAATTTGGAACGGGCTTAAGTCAGAGGAATAAAAGTTGGAAGCAGGATTCATTGGCGGTCCATTCCTCGTGCCTCAATAGGCAAGAACGGATGTAGCAAGGTTTTATCCCTAAACTACAAACCTACCTCTAATGGATTTATGTGACTCTAATTCACGAGGATATACAAATCTTCAAAGCTTTGATAAAACACAACGTCAAAGTTATGAAGTAACAAGAATCCAGTTAATAGAAATCCAGTTAATAGAAATAACCCCTGTGATTGTTTCAATAAGAAAGTATATTTATAATCAAACTATATTCATAGAATTCATCCTTAAAATATTTATCTTTTTCATTAAATTTTATTATCTGCTCATAATTTATGTTCTCAATTTAAATCCTTATGGAAACGCCTTACTGTACTTTATACATACGGATTTCTCTAAAATATGAAATTTCTTTGTGTTCAAAGCTATAGGGTAAATATTACCCTACTATCGAGACAGAAGCATAAATTAAAAATTTGTATTATTTTACTTTCTATTAATCAAAAGTTACATATCCAAGTGATAATATTCTTTTGGCTTAAAAAATAAATATGCTCATAACAAAAATCACAGCTAAAATGAAAATGTAATCTTATATATATTGTAGATATTTATATGTGTGTTTAAACACTAATATGTAACTGATTAGTGCAAGAAAGGAGAATAACAAAAAAGGAACCCGAGTTGGGGAATATATGTGTTTCCCTCTACTTATATGAGATCAGTATGTATGTATATAGGCACATATATCTAACCCTCCGGTAACATTCTGGTTTGGACAATCAAACTAATTAGGGTCCGTTTGATTGCAAAGATGGAAAATGCAAATCAATTCTATATAAGTTGGAAAAGAAAAAACAACCAAAACAATAAGAATGCATTTCCATGAAATTGGCCAAAAACATGCTTTAAGTGTTTGTACCTTAGAATTCGAACTCCATTTCCACTTTCGTATCAAAAAGTCAAAGTAGAAAACGAATTCATCGGATATGACATTTTCCATGGAATTAACTCCAACCAAACAGACCATTATTTCTTAATAATTACAGCTTTTCTCCACAATTTTTATTTATTTATTTGTTCCAATTTAAATTAAAGTTCTAAAATTCCAATTGCCCCCATCAGTCCCCTCCACCAATGTGTGGGACAATTAACAGAGAGATGATAATATTGAATCATTAAGGGGCTTGGCTATTCTAAATTTCTGTTAGAATGGCCTAGTGGGAACAAATTGAGCTAGAAAATTGTTGTAGATAAACAAATCGGCTTTAGACAAATGGCCATGGCATCAAAAGGAAAACCAAACAAAGAAAGTATCAGTGAGAAGTGGGAAAGAAGAATAAAACCCTCTGAAAGTAGTAAAACATTGCAGAGACGATCTACTGAAATTGATCCGTCAAAACTAGCTATATCTATCTCAGCCACCGAGATTATTATCATGATACCAGCTCGCTTTACACCTATAGATTCCATATATGTTGCCCAATATACTATTGAAATAGGATGCAGAACGAAAAGAGAAATACGGAAAAAGAAGAGGAGAGAATAAAGAATAAGAATTTAGAGGGAAGAAGATATCAATATTCAATCGTCAATAATAGTAATAAAATGCAACACTACGATCCTTTTTAAGGGGAAAGAAGCTAAAAATCAAATGGATTTCTTATAAACTTGAACATTATTAAATATTAAAACTAATCTAAACAAACATAATTTGAATAAACTCTACACAAAATCCAATCAAAACCATATTTTTATGCTTAACTTCAGTTCCCCATCATTTCCTATCGGAATAGGAAATAGGACTCTATGAGAAAAGCTTAAGAACCCCCAAACAAGAATTTAGGTAAAATCCAAACCCTCCACAAGCATATGATTAACATGTCTCCTCATCAATCATCGTACCCTCCAAAAAAATAAAATTTAGACCCATACAATATCCTCTAAAAACGTCAAGATGTCACCAATTAAGAAGGTGAAAGAAAACATAACCCCCAAAGGAGAAATGCCAAAAGTAACAGCAGTTACCCAAAATTTATAACATAACAATTCAAATAAAGTGCATATCAACCAAAGTTTTACATCTGAATCCATGAAATGACATTCCAACATCTTATATTTTCATGTAAAATATATCCATAAAGATTCTACACAATAACGACAACAAAAATAAGTTGCCGACAGCCAAAAAAAAAAAAAAAATACAATCACGAAATCAATGGCACTATTTATGACAGACCTCGATCTGAGAATTTCGATCCAATCAGGTCGTAAACAAGGCTGAATTGGCCGTAGCAGTGCCCACTTGTACTTCTAGTAATTCGAGACGCCGATCCAATGTATCAAGCTTCTCATTCAACTTCGCCAACTTATTTTTTGTGGTTGCCTCTACAATTGAAAAGGAAAAAAAATAATCATTAAATAATCAAATTAGAAAAAGAGTGAAGAAGAAAAGGGTTTATACGAAATGGGTACAAAATTGTACAAGGAAGTCAAATAGGCGACGGACATTGAGAGAAATGTGGGAAATGAATTCCCGATTTTCCCAATCAGCTTGCACTGCGATTCCCACGTTCACCGCGCTCGTTATCCCACCGGCTCTTGCCATTACTGGGGACAGTTGTGAATGAATATAATATTGATTTTATTTTCCTTTATTATTAGAAATACTATTTTAACGTTACTTTTATTATTTGCAAGATATATCCTATAACTTTTAATATTTTTTTTAATCAGGATTTATATTTACATTTTTTAATCTTTCAAATACTTCTGAATATTCTCTGTATCTTGATAATTTTTTAAAGATTCTAGGTTGATATTTCTCAGTTATGTATTCTAGAATTATTCCTTTTGAAACCTCTTCTTCTATATTTTTATGTTTAGTTAAAATATCTTCCACATTTTTTATTTCTCTACTAGTTCTTATAGAATCAAGTCCTATATTATACTTACAATAATAATCTATATCTTGATATATTTCTTCAAATTTTTCTTGGCTAACAGAAAATATGTCTTCAAAATTTTCAGCTATTTTAAGTAAAAACGAAATATCTTTATCATCTAAATATAATCTGAAATCATTATAATTATAAGAAGTTGATGTGGATGCTTGTGAAGTGATCATCAAAGTATGAGCATATAAAAGCGAATAAATAACTTACAGTAATCGAATGGAAGTAAACAGGCTTTCACTCCAATATGCTTTTATACATGCTTTATATATACTTAACCAATCTTCTGAATCAAGTAAAAGTTTAAAATGTTTTTTGGAATCATTTGGATCCACAACTGCTTGCGCAAAAGGCTTTTCAATTAAGATTGCATTTCTCACTCTAGAGAACTAGCCGTATTACCACATACGCTATTTCACAATATTCAGAGTCTCTGTTTTCACCTCTATTCATATTCTTTTCAAAATCAAGTTCTTACTTGGAACGAAATTTTAAAAGATAACTCACACACAAGGTGCTACGATTTTGTTAGAAAATCGCCTTTTTTCCCCTAAACCATTCATCAAAGACGGGTACTTTGGCATGGCTAACATCCATTCAAAATCAACGTTTTGAAAATCTTTTAAAATCTCTATCTGTACAGCCGATGAATCATGAGAAATTTAACAAAATCCTTTTATGAAAATTTTATTAGACATAACAAACTTTACTTTGATATTCATTAACTGAAATAGTACATGCTTACAATCTATATTTACATACCTTTGGTACTCACCTTATGAAATTTAGAACTTCATAAGTGATTACCTTATTACAAGCTTTGCTATCTTCAGACTATCTAAATTTTTCTGAATACAAGTGGTATATACAGATTACAAAATATTTGAGATGTGTTTTTTCAGAGTGTTTTAGAGATAAGTTGTTTCGAGATATCTTCCATCTTCCTTCTTGCTTCCTTTTATAGAAGGTTTTGAGAATATTATCTTGAGAGCTGTATCCTCTTTTCTTTTGTTGGGTAGCTTAGTAGTCTTATCTCCACCAATTTCTCCATTATTTTCTTGCTAGATGGACCTCTCTTTTTGAAATTTTCTACCTTATCTTTGATTTTTTCTTCCACTTATGACAACCAGTAGGTGAGTGATCACAATTATGGAGACTTTCTTGCAATATCTTCTGTCTTTTAGTGGTCACAGTTTTTCTTTAATAAATTTCTTTATTAAAGTAGTGATAAAGTGCCACTTTTGTCACTATCACTTTTCCATCTTTGAATCAAAGAATTCTGCAGGGAATTCTTCACTGTTGAGAGATGTTTGACTCATATTTTTCACTACACAGTATTCACAATGGTGGTCATTGTAGTTCCAGAGTAGTTTGCACAGTTC